ACAAACTTGGAGGTGCCCCCAAAAGAGAGAGGGGTCATCTAGGATGTCAAATCTAGGCGTAGGACCCAGAACTTTGCCAAGCATAGATAGCAAGATTTGTGGAGGTCCATATCTTGGCTCAGGGCCATACAAGCCTGGGTATAACATAACTTGACCACTTGCCTTGGCCACAGCAAAAGAGGTCTACTTGGAAAATGGGATTAATTGTTAAGGGTGCCACTTATAGGACAGATTTCTTGGTCCTATATTTTATATTAGGGCCAGGCAGTACTGCAAAGATTAAGTGTTTTTTCTTTAGTGTCTGCAAGGGTCTATTTTGCTCTAGTTTTTAAGAATGCATGCTAAGGGCAAATCTGTGGGGCTGAGAGAGATTGTCTCATGACCCATTCAGCAACAAAGGGAAAACACTTGTGATGGCTAGCGAATGGGCCTACAGTCTGGGAGGAGTTACACCAGGGAACTAGGGGGTTGATTTGCCAGCACAACCTTCTCCACTGGATGTAGAGTGTTGGGCCTGGGAAGGAAGTAGACTAGATCTCTGGCCACAGACGGAAAGGCAGAGTGAGGAAAGTGAAGCTGCCTGCCATCTGGCTATGTGGTTCCCCGAACTCATGGGAACGTTTCACTGATTTGTGGGTGCTCAAGCCTGACCCCCTCAATTCTCACTCACAAGCCAATTCTTTGAAGTCTTTGGAAACTTTCAGTAACATTGGGATGTATCCTAATCTGATACCTTCATTTATCCAAAGTTTCCTCACAGTCCACCAGAGAACGAGAAACAGTGAAGGAATAAGGGGTACCAGTGCCCAATTTCTCCCCATCTGGGCAACCAAAATGTAGTGGGGTAAATACTGGGGTGAGACTGGAGGCATGGGGATAAAAGAAATTGTCAGAGACAGAACGGAGGACAGAAAAGGAGGATTTATTGAAATACCCTGCAAGAGAGCACGGGACAAGACAGGAGGATGAAGGAGGATTTGAGGATCTCTTTTATACCCTGCCTCTGCAGGCTTTCTATCTTGGGGTAACAGTTTGCACCTGTTATCAGCTGGGATGTCTGATCTCAGGTGCTGACCTGTAACACAGAAACATGTCCTAGACCTGCTTCTGCATTCCTGGATCTTTGCTGGTTTTTCTGGTCATTGTGGTTGGTCTTATGGCCTTGTTTCCAAGATAATCTTATCAGTTGTCTTACCTATTCAATCTTCCCAAACCTTCCTGCTGAGCAAGGAGTATGGGCTTAGTTTTTGACCTTATTAAATGGCACCTGGAGACAGTTGTGTCTTAATTCATTTCTTATCTCTATGACCACCTTGGTTTCAGCCAGTTTTGCCTGGCTTTCTGGCTTTGTATGCAAGGAAACACAACACAACACAGCACAACACAACACAACACAACACCACACCACACAACACAACACAACAAAACAGGTACAGAATAAGGATGAACAGGGCAAGAGCGAGGAACATTGACATTACCAGGACACTGACAACCTTTAAACCAGTCCCTGAAAGATAAACAATGTTATGTTGTTATATAGAATTTGGGGTGTGATTTTATAGGTTCAAGTATTTCATTTGCTATGTGACCTTGGACAAATCTCTTAACCTAAGCTTATTCACTGATTAAACTGGACTGGGTGTACCTACATACAGTTGATATCCATAGCGTGTTTCAAGTAAGTCTTTGCATATAATAGAGCTTTGCCAACTGTGATTTGCTATACAACTGCCATCTATTGGTTCACATTCAAAATTGGCTTGTAAAAGAAAGCAGCATTCTTATCTCTTTCCTTCCTACTCTACCTCCCCTCAAATACACTTCCTCTCTTCTTTTACCTCTGGAACTTTTAGAATATATCATAGAAGAAGAAAAAGTATGGAAACTCAGAGTTCAAAATCAAAGATGTTTTGTTAAAGACTACAAAAATTAAGCCCTCAAAGAAGCAGAAAGTTCTAATAGCCTCTGGCAAATTGCACCCTCAGAGGAGCCTAGATTCTGGAAGAGAGCTGTCTTGTAAAAGAGGTGAAACAAAGGCTTTTCAAGCACTCCAGAATCTTTCAGAGACTGGGATATTACCCTGGCAAAGTTATTAAAGTTGATTTCCCCATTTACTCAAAGGGCCACCTAAGGACAACTGGCTGCCTGCCCTTAAGTTGCTATTTATTTTTAAGAATATAAATTGAAAAAGTCTAGTAATTATTTCTACATAATGCTTTCACATCATATATATATATATTTATGATTATATATATAATCATATATAGGGTTAGGGAGAGAAATTAAAAATGTTGGTTAACAATATGCAAAGGAACAATTATTTGCTGGATTTAAATTGTGTCATATAAAATGTAGTAGTTTTCCCTTCTTTTGGCCTTACTTTAAGAATACTAACACATTGGGTAGCTATTTTATATTTTCAAAGTAGTTGACAACAAAGTCTAATTTAAATACTTGTAACATTATTATATATTTTTTCAATAAATATATCAGCTTTGTTTTTATTATAATTAAGTTGGAGAAGTATTGTTTCACAAGCTATACTTTTAAACCAAGTGTATATCTTTCCAGAAACATCACAGGGGAACCATTCGCTCTCTTTCTTTGAGGAATTTTCTGATCAAGTTCTCATGGGAATCTGAGGGTGAGAGTAGAGGTGGCCTCTAGGAGTCATGACATCCCTGGACCATTGATTGGTCAATAAGAGTTATAACAACAGACAACTTTTCTCAAAAAATATAAAAGACTGAGCCTAGTATTTTTGCCTCCACATAAAAGGCAAAGATCAGCTCTTCTCTACAATTTAAATAAAACTCTGAAATAACGGTCATTTTCAGACATTGCTCATAAATAGCATTCAAACCTTATTCTAAACAAGTTTATTATTAAACAGAAAAGGTTCTAAATTTCATTTCATTGATCATAAGAAAACTGAAGCACAGAAAAGAATTTTTGTAGTGTGTCATGTCTATACAGATTTCTTCAAGAACTGAGCATTCCTTTCTCAGGAAGCTGCCTCCTTAACAGCATCATGGCCTCAATATAAAAACAGCCAACTTTGTTTCCAACTTTGTTAGCCCTCATAATTGATCATAACCCTATCCTCAAAATCGGCTTGCCAACAATTGCTCCAAAGGGTCTGAATTCAGACTCTTATTTTCACAGGCCCACGGTACTAACCATCTAAATGATGCCTTATCCCACAGAGTCTTCAACAAAAGCCAAAGCCAAATACCTTTACAATACCCCCTCTGATCTGACATTGATCCTAAACCATAAGCAACTTCTTTTTTCTGAAAAACTCTATTGAAAAAGTTCAGGGGTTGTATATTAAAATGAGAAGATAATCTCTTAAAGGAAAAAAGGCTAGGGAAGTTTCAGGAGTCACTTTGTGGATCAAAATGCACTTTGTTAATGTGACATTTTAAAAATCAAGAATTGGGGCCTCCCTGGTGGCTCAAGGGGTTAAGACAGCACTATGAAGCTACCTGCAGCCACTGCAGCACAAGTTCGATCCCTGGCCAGGGAGGTGACCCACATGGTGCAGCAGACCTCTCCTGTTGTGCCCGCTGCTCCCCTCAGCAGTGTTTTTCAGTCAGTTTGCCTGTTCTGTTCCCCACTCTGTCTCTGGTGAATCCTCTCACCCCCCACCCCCGTACCTCTGGCCTGTACCCCAGTTCTTGTATGCATAAATAAATCTTTAAAAAAATAAATAAAAATCAAGAATTGGAGTTGGAGTTTTAAAAATATTAACAAATGTTACTTTATTTTGTGCAGCAGATACAATTAAGTCCTATACATTTCCATTGCTTTTATTTTCTTTCTTGGAAGGTTCTAATTCCTCAGTTGTTCCTTTCCAATTTGTCTAATTTAATGATGCCATTAGGTGATGTTATTAAAATTGACCTATGAATTGTCTTTTATTGGGTTCATATTTATTATAACATATTGACTAATGCCACTTTAATCTTATTTAAGTTTACTGTGTGGAGAGTCTTCAGATACAAATGCATTTTAAATATAAGTAACTAAATATCCTAATTATAACAGTGACAAGATTTAGGAGGAACAATTTTAATAATTGTTGTAAACTTTTATAATGAAGAAAAGAATAAAGTTTGTCTTGAGGGGTGTGCTTGGGAAAGCGGTGGTTTAGAACACAACACTTGATTTCATGTGTTTGTGCCAAGAAAGTTTCCTTTTTGTCTCTTTCCTTTTCATAGGCTTCAACAATAGGGCATGTTTAATATTGATGAGTTCGATCTCCTGGCAGGGATAGTATATGCACCCCTTTTGAATACAAATGTTTGATTTACGTGGTAAACACACAGAATTTTGGGCATTAGCATTTTAATCAATTGTAATTACTCTGTATTTTCTGATTGCCCCCACCTCACTATTTTGTCAAATAAAAGTTTGAAAATGAACTTTGAAATGACTGTTATGAAGATGCAAAGTCGTCATGGAACAAAAGCCAGACTATGAGTAGTAAGTAACCTTTCCTAAAACATTCCCTCAAGCACTAATGTTAATAATCCTGTTAATACAGCATTCAAGATGATCAACTATAAAAGAAAATGACCCATTCATTCAACCTCCAAATATTTACCGGTGTCATGCTTCTGCTGGCTGGTTGGTAGAAGAGAGGACGTGTATGTGCCTTCTTTATTAGATTCTGGCTTCAATTTCTCCCTGTTAAAATTTTTCTTTTCTGTTTAATTTCTCTGCTGGCAGGATCTGGAGCTTCGAGGTTGGGTGTGCATCTTTCAGCTGACCAACTTTTCCGCTTGGGACAAGGTTGGACATCCAAGTCCTCGAGATACAAGAAACATTGGTTGCTCCGGGCTTCATTTCGGGTGGAGTGAGCTGCAACGACTGGCGCAGAGCCAGGCCGGGGCTGCGTCCCGTGCATCCATTGGCCGGCGCCGAGCGCCGCACTGAGCATGTTCGCGCCCCGCCAGCACCCCCGCCTCAGCCGCAGCCACTGCGGGAGTCGCAGCGTATTATGCAAAGCCGTGACAGACGAGAGCGGGGCCAGCTAGAGGCCCAGCGACCTCCCCTGCCTGCGGCTTGCCCGGCCGCCTGAGTGGCCTGGAGACTCCCCTGGCCTGGGCCGCGCACCGCTGAGGGCCGGGATGGCCTGAGTGCCCCGGGCGCGGCGGCGCACAGCGGCTTGCAACATGGGGAACCAGGATGGGAAGCTGAAAAGGAGCGCAGGTGATGCCTCGCTGGAGAGCGGCGGCGCTGAGGATTCTGTTGGGCCCAGAGATGTGGAAGCCACAAAGAAGGGGGCTGGGGGTAAAAAGGCGCTGGGCAAGCACAGCAAGGGGGCAGGGGGCGGCGGCGGGGAGCCGGGCAAGAAAAAGAGCAAGTCCGACTCCAGAGCCTCAGTGTTTTCCAACCTGCGGATCAGGAAGAACCAGTCCAAGGGGAAAGGCACCGGCGGCTCCCGAGAGGATGTGCTGGATCACCAGGCCCTCCAGACCGGGGAGCTGGACAGCGCTCACTCTGTGGTCACCAAAACCCCAGACCTCAGCCTTTCCGCGGACGAGATCGGCCTGTCGGATATTGAGTGTCCAGACCCTTTTGACGCGACCGGTCCAAGTGGCCTGGGGCGGACCGATGCTGGGGTCGGGATCCGGGCGGTCGCTGAGGATTTGGAAACTACCGGAGGGGCGCAGAATGGACAAAGGACCAGTTCGGGCTCGGACACGGACATCTACAGCTTCCACTCTGCTACAGAGCAGGAGGATTTGCTTTCAGACATCCAGCAGGCGATCCGGATGCAGCAGCAGCAGCAGCAGCTGCTGCTCCAGGGCGCCGAGGAACTTGCAGCGCCCCCAACGGTTGCCTCGCCTCAGCCCGAGGCCTTCCTCGGCCTGGACCGATTCCTGCTGGGGCCAAGAGGCGTTGCTGGAGAGGCCGTGGGCAGTCCCGACGCAGAGCAGGTGCTGTCGGCGCTCTCCGACCTGCCTGAGAGCCAGGTCACCGAATCCTCCGTGCCCAAGCAGCCCCCGCTCCCCAGCGGCAGCCTCTCCTCCGAGGTGCCCCACTTGGAGGATGCCCAGCCCTCGGCGGCGGACTCTGTCGTGTCCACCTCCTTCCGCTTTCCCGAGTCTGAACCTGGCGAGGTTGTGGTGGGAGACCCCGCGCAAGGTGCTGGGGACACGGATGAGGAAGGCGAGGAGGAAGCTTTTGAAGATGCCCCCCGAGGCTCCCCCGGGGAGGCGTGGGGCCTAGCGTTGGGAGAGACTCAGCAGAGGTTGGAGGGGAGATCCGAGGAGCTGTCGGGAGCCGAGGAGTCCGGCTCCCCCGCAGCTGCCTCCCTGCCCAGCAGCCCTGTTCCCAGCTTGCGCTGCTTCAAGCCCTACCCGATCATTACCCCTTGCTACATCAAGACCACCACCCGGCAACTCAGCTCTCCTAATCATTCCCCGTCTGAGTCCCCCAGCCAGAGCCCCAGGATCAAGAGGCGGCTGGAGTCTGCCCTGAGTCGGGGACCAAGACCTTCCCTCGCCTCTGCCGCCGCCCCGGCGCAAAAACACAGAGCCGACGGGGGCCTGGCTGGTGGCCTCAGCCGTTCTGCAGACTGGACGGAGGAACTGGGTGCCCGAACGACCCGGGCTGGAGACTCTGCTCTCCCGGTGCGCGGATCAGCCCCAGGCAGTTGCGATGGGGCACCCCAAGCCCCGACAGCCACATCTGCTGCTGGGGCTCAGACGACTGCAGAGGGTTTCCAGAACGTGTTCACTGGTGAGTGCGTCCTGTCACCTGGTGACAAGTTTGTTGCCAATAAGGGGCTTCCCCTTCCATCACTAACGCCTTCAACAGCAGTGACCAACTTGTGACAACCCCTTTCTCATAGAAAATCCCCCCCCCCTTTTTTTTTGATGCCTCTCACCCGGATTAGTGAAATTTCTTATTTTTTTTTAACAAGGTCTTAAAGGGTGTAATTTAGTTGTGTCTCTCCCAAATCATCTCATGAAAGGACTGCTCCATCCACTTCTCCAAAATATATGCTGTTCCCTAAGTGCAGTGCAATGCCAGACAAACTCTTACTTATTTTTACTCTTGTGCATTGTTAGCTAAGCCATCTTCCTTCTCTTTCCTTCTTCATGCTCATAGCACTAAGACAAAAAGTTGCTCATGATCCTTTGAGAAAGGTCACTGTTGGAGAAGCAAATAACTTATTCTAGTACTACTTAGAGGTCACTTCTGATTGCACTAATACATATGTCTATGTATGTAAGGTGTAATTTCTATCTTGCAAATAACTTTTCTTTATGAAGTGGTGTCATTCTAGTTTGCTGATTAAACAAATTTGAAACATACTTAATGTATATTTAAACAGAAAATATTATGATTTAGAATTTCATTTGGCATGATGGTCCAATCATAATTGGGTATTTATACTTTGGAGATAGTGAAGGTGAGGCAGCCCAAACCAAGTGTCATCCAATTGGTATTCCTTTCTAGAGTCTGCTGGAAACTGATGGGTACCATAAAGCACAACTAAAGGGTCAGTTTATTGTAAATGTTAAGTAGATACATGAGTGTAAGAGGTTTATAGGTCTCAAAGTCTTACCTAAGGGTCCACTGGTAGAATAAATATCAGTTAGTTTGTATCGCATGTTCATTGGCTTCAGTTTTTACTATATATAAATGAAATAGTGTAAGAATTTAAGGACTAGAAAAAAGTGAAATTTATGTAAGTACTGGTACATGTAAGTTTGTGATAAATATTTGAATAATGAAAAATTTCAAATGTAACTTGACAAACTTAAAAATCCATGTTCAATTAACTTTACTAAATTATGAAACTAAAATCTACAATTATTTTAGATGACATTTCTTGATCATGTGCTACTTGGTTAAATGCTATTTATATTGTGAAAATAGTGTTTGTTAATCACATTTGCATTTATATCTAGGAACTATCGTTTATATCTATGGAGTCTTATAATCAACACTAGCCTCTTCTTTTCATTTTACATGATTGCTATCTTACTTATTTTCTTCCCCTACCCTTTATTGAATAGGTTAAAAGGAATGTTTATCATTTAATACCCATTATATAGTTAAAAAGAAGAACAATAACAAACACTATCAAGAAGCATTTTTGAAGAAGAAAACTGGAAAGTTGTTAATTGTTGTGAATTTGACTTTGATGGGAAATCATGTATTGCCTTTTTAATTTTGGTAACATTTATATATTATTTTTCTAAAAATGAAAAAGTCACCATAATTAAAGCTATCATTCATTATTATTAATGGTTGCTTTTGATAATAGCATTAGACTGAGAAATATATTCATCTCATTTATTTAACAAATATACACAATATGCATATTTACAATATATACATGCATACATACATTACATACATCCAGGCAGCCACATGTGCCAAGCAATATTCTAGAATGTAGGAGATAAAAAGGTCATGACTAAGTGCATTGGAACACATAAAGTTACATAGTACAATGCTCTAGAAGCATCAAGGATATAGTGACTTAACTCCTTGGTAGTGAGGGAAGAGAACTTCATAGGAGGATTGATCAAAAGTCCTGAAGGTCACAGGACCTTAAACAGGTTTAAGTTATTTTTCTTAAGGAAAAAATAGATATTTTTGGAACTTTCCTTTGAATTTGCTAGGTATTTCTGAATTGGAAATTTTGGGATTCCTAAATGAGTCCTCTTCAAGGGTGTTGTTGATCTTTTCAGGTAGACTTTCTCTGTGTAGAGTAAAAGTGTAAAATTATTATTCTAATATGGACAGTTTCTACTGTGTATTTGATTGCTTGATATTGCTGGTGGATGACTAGTAGATATTTCTATAGCAGCTTCTATATAGTTATCTCATTCATTTACTTGAAAAGAAAAAAGAACTGGCAGGTCTATCTTAATCATGTAAGTGGTAGGTGGAAGTAGATAAGAGGTGAAATAATTTTCTCAAGGTCACATTATGATTCATTTAGAGGCAGAGCCAGAAAGAGAAGCTGAGCTTACTAATTCAAGTCTGAATGTCCTTACTTATTTTGGATGTTTAATACTGTAAGATAACATATAGTGTCAAAAATGCTTTAAAATGTTATAGAATTTAAGACCTCCATATATGAGATTTTCCCATTTTCTGTCTGTAATAAAGCAAATTCCTTTAATTGTTGAACATCTGACCTTTCAGCTAAAGAATGGTGATTGTTGGTCAGAGTGAACCACATTTTTTCTAGGAAGCTGTCCTGGGAACTGTTCTTATGATAAAATGAGTCCAGATTCATACAGGCTCCTGTTTCTCAGCCATTATCTGTTTTTTCTTTTTTTTTTTTTTCATCTGACATTACACTTGGTTCTTTACCATCCTATTTTAAACCATATAGTGAGGGTTGTCAGCTCTGCAGGAAGGAACAGATGTTTTTCTGCTTTTTATTGCCTTCCAAATGTAGGAAGAAAATTCAAGTGAAAAAGACATCTCCATGACATGTTTGTCTTTTTTTGGTAAATGTAAAAACACTTAGCAATGATGGAGACCAAAATTTTATTTTGTTTTAGCTGTTAAGGAACTGAAGTTGTCTTAGGCCATTGCATGAAATATGTTAGTTAATTTGTTTAAAATGCATTCTTGTTCAGTAGTAGTAGAAAAATTGCTGCTGGAATTTGAGAGATCCCTTTGCACATTAAATAATAGCAGAAACTTTTTTTAAAAAAAGATTTATTTATTTATGCATACAAGAACTGGGGTACAGGCCAGAGGTGTGGGGGTGAGAGGACTCACCAGAGACAAAATGGGTAACAGAACAAGCAGAACAGGAGAGTCCTGGAGCCTTCTGTGGCTTTCTCAGGTTGTTATTGAGCTTTACATGTAATGTGGCAAACAGATACATGGCAGGCAGGGGTGGGGTGGGGGGCAGGAGGCCAGTAGGTCTCCAAGCCCCTGGCAAGTCTTCACTCTGGGCTACTCTGGCCTCTTTCTCCTTTTTTCTCTCCTGCCTCTCTCTCCTGCTTCTGCTTCTCTCTGGTGACTACCTCAATACTCCTCCCATGGCTCACAGAAGTAAACAAGACAGTTTACAACAATGTAACAACTGCAGGTACCCCATCAGGCAGGGCAATCCTATCGGTGGGAGGGCAGAAAAGCTTGAAAACCATTTACCCTACACAAGTGCATTGATGCTTTCGGAAGACTAGTTAATTAATACAGTGTTTGAGCCTTAGAATTTGGATTGTATGACAATAATTTTGGCTTCTTTAAAAGTTATTTTGATTCTTTTATCACTGGGACCCAAAGATACAAATTTTTTCTCAGATAGCTCTTAATTATTTTTTTAAACCAAAGAACAGTGTTACTTCTAGCAGTAACATTTGACAATGTAGCTATCCAGTTATTGTCTGATAAATGAATGTCAACAGTCATCCCAGATTTACACAATGTGTCAGTCTTACTACAATAGCAAAGCGGATTATAAGAGTGCTATGCTTTTTCCTGTGCTTTGTCTTCCTGGGTTGCTTTTATCAGAATAGACATTGGCAACATAAAAACTATAAATAAGTAATTTTAGTTTGGTCTGAAACATCTTTTTTCTTGTTTATTTTTTTAAAGACTGATTTGGATTGAAGTATCCCACAGCATCAGTAATGGAATTTAATGATGATATTATGAATTGAGGACGGGTCTTGTTTTAAGTGCATTTAGGCGGTTGGATATAAGCCGTGTGTATTGAATTTGTTTTTTTTTTTTTTATTAGAAATGTAATATATTTTTTTGTCTATTCTATACATACTGAATGGGAAACTCTAAGGAGCAAGCCAAGTAATCTATATTTTAGCAATCACTCTAGTTAATTCTGATGCATATTAAAATTTGAGAGGCATCATCTTGACACCATTCTTTTTTTTTTTTTTTTTTAATAAATTTTATTGTTATATTCCCCATACAATTGCAGCCCCCCCATTCTGACCCCAATCCCTCCCCTCCCACCCCCGCCCCCCTAAAAGTGTCTCTGGTTCATAGTTTTTTGTTGATTTTGATTTTCACTTTCTTATAGTTATTCATTTTCCTGGTCCCTTATTTAAGTTTTCTAGATTCCTGCTATGAGTGAGACCATCCGGTATTTTTCTTTTTCTTTTTGGCTTATTTCGCTGAGCATGATCCCTTCCAGCGCCATCCATGTTGCTGCAAATTGCATGTGTTTATCTTTTTTGAACGCTGAGTAATATTCCATGGTATATATGTACCACATCTTCTTGATCCAGTCATCTATTTTTGGGCATTTGGGTTGTTTCCAAAGCTTAGCTATTGTAAACAGTGCTGCTATAAACATAGGGGTGCAGGTGTTCTTTGGAATTGATGTTTCTGTGTCCTTTGGGTAAATACCTAGGAGTGGAATTGCTGGATCATATGGAAGCTCTATGTTTAGTAGGTCCAGAAATCTCCATACAGCTTTCCACAGTGGTTGAACCAGTTTGCACTCCCACCAACAGTGCAGAAGAGTTCCTTTTTCTCCACACCCTCGCCAACATTTGTTGTTGCTAGTTTTTTTAATATGTGCCATTCTCACTGGTGTAAGATGGTATCTCATGGTAGTTTTGATTTGCATTTCCCTGATGACAAGTGATGTTGAACATTTTTTCATATGCCTGTTGGCCATTTGCATTTCCTCTTCAGAGAAGTTTCTTTTAAGCTCTTCTGCCCATTTTTTGACTGGATTATTTTCTTTGTTGTTGTTGAGTCTCATCAGCTCTTTGCAGATTTTTGTGATC